CATCTATGTAGCTTTTATCTTTCTTGACCTTTATTTCACAAAATTAGCCTGAAAATGAGCATCGGATTAGTAAAAATTTGTACGAGCGACAAAGCACTTCTGTGTCTGTTTATGTGCGTGTATGTATATGTATGTATGTATTTGTGTATGTGTGTATTTGTGTATGTGTAAGTATGTGTGTAGGTATGTGTGTGTATTTATGAATGTGTAAGTATGTGTGTATGTATGCGTGTATGTATGTATGTGTCTGTAAGGCATATCTACATGAATAACGTGTATGCAGAATGTTTGTGCATAAGTCGTTGGGTCTGCACAGACAGTTTGACTTGCCAAGGGTCAAGTCTAATTGCGCCGCTTCTGAACTTTGATGAACAGAACCAGAACAATGCAAATTGCTGAATTAATGAGAGACAGGAGCAGTCGAAACAAAATAATAAGCCACAGATGTGTTCCCTTTGATTCCGCACTGGACATGAACGGCGAGGGCAGAGGGCGGAAACGGGGGTGAGGAGGGGGGGGGGCATTCGGCGGATTAAATCAGGCGTGGCACCCATGAATTCCGTGAGGGGGGAGGGGGGAGGGGAGGGATAGTCACTGTTTGCAGAGGGCCAGGGTGCCAAGAGAGAGCGAGTTGGTTCAGATTGAGGTCCTGTAAACTGCCAATGACGAAACTTTGAAAGATTCGAATTTCAAGCTTCCACAGTGATTAAATTCAATTTGCACATACACACAGACACATACACACACACAACCAAATACACACAGACACATACATACACACGCACACACACATACATTCACATACATCCATACACACATACCTACTTTATAGTGATTCACAAGTATGCGGGACAGATAATGTAAAATAGGATTTTAGACTCCACGTGAGGACCTAAACTCTCATCTTCCTCCATCATCCGATAAAGTGAAGGTTTCTGAGTTACTTTGCCTAAGAGGAAGACTTTTGTTAAAAAGTCGTGGTCATGTTTTAATCACGATCCACACCCAGCTGATCGGTGGTTTCATAACTCTAGAAGGAGGCAGATCCAGTATTCAGGTGCTTTAGATTTTTGCCGAATAGCCCGAAGAATCTTCTTGCGTACCTTCTGTAGCAATAGTACTTGTTTCTCAGTACGTGCGAGACATTTTATCACAAAAATGCATGATTATACCAGCCTTATTGTTAACTTCTCAGTGTTTTTTTGTTAAAATAAGATGCGCTTATCTTAGTACTTCCGATTTGAAATCTCTTAAAACGGATGCCCTGGCGAGTCGCGCGAGCGGTATCAAAAATGCCCAGAGCAGCCACTCGCTGGCATGGCTGTCGATGGCTTCCTCTTTCGAGAGTTGCTTATAAGCAAGCTGATGGCGGTTTTGACTTCGGTACATGAGCCAGTACCAATTTACCATCGAAACGAATGAACGAACTGTGGAGGGATTGATTATCTCAGTGATAAAAGGGAACAGACCCTCGATTTCCCCGCGTGATGATGGCACCATTTTCCTCCTCCCTCCGCTCCCCTCTCTTAAATTCTTGCCTACCAAATTTATAATAGTAGGGCAAAAAATAACATAATCGGTGTTACAGATTGAGCATGTGGTTATTGGCGATCGTGTGAGCGTCCTCAAAGATGAGGGGAAAACACTTATGCAGGTAATATTCATCTTTACCTTCATCCACTTTACTTTATCGTTAATTAGAATTTTAAAAAAATACCAAAATTGAGCCAAATTGTGCGAAGAAACCAAAAAATACCAAATTAATGCAGTTTGTGCGAAGAAATCTTTCCCCGGAAAGGGTAAAATTGCCCCAGTTATTTATTTTTGTTCTTTGAATTTTTAT